TTTTCTGAATCTTTTCCTCGCTAAAAAATATGAATGACGAAAGAATTAAATGAAAAAATGTCAAAAAACTGGGTTAAAATCATGTATTGGATTATGGTACGAATTTCCAAACATGAACAAAGAATTAAAACACCTCAAAGCTAATTTCAACAAACAGTGGCGCTTTTAAATGAAAAAATTACAATTTTCCCAGGTCTCATAACTAAAATGAAGAAAAGTCCAACCTAAAGTCTTGTGATTACATGATCTTCTTCTGATCATAACTTCTTCCACTCACAATGGACTACAGAAAAGGAAATACATAATATCAGTGATATCCATATGCTCAAATAGGGACTCATGTCGAGCTAAAATTTGATAAACCTCTTCCCGAAATTCAACATTTGTTTTGTTGCGAGTCTCCATTCTTCAGAAACTAGTAACCAATGGACCTTCCTTTTGAGAAGGCGATAACAAAGCCGTTGTCAGCTCTGATACCACTTTATATGTTCGATTATTAGTTCAACTAGAGAAACTAAGTTTTTAAGAGGGTGAGAAAGAAACAGACGTAATATGAAGAGAGTGATAAGTCTTTTACTTCTTCATTCCTATCCTTTGCAAAAGTAATCAAAAACTATTTTATAATAGTGGCACATGATAAGAGTATAACTACCAACTAAGATATTCTACCACTACTTGTAACTAACCACTAAAAGTACTTAATATTTAGATGAAGTTAAATAACTAAACAAAACAACTCCCCACTCCTTGTGCAATATGTTCTGGTCGTATCAAAAATTAAATGAATTTACCACACACACACACACACCAATCACAACCAATTGAATTCAAATAAATTTTTATAATAATTCTTATCAACATCATATGGCATATTACTTCCGTTTCAATTTATCTCTCCATTAATTGTCTGATTAGTCTAATTAGACATTAACTTCTTACCTGGCTCTTTTTGCTTCTAATAAATAACCAATTGTACCAAATAGACAATAAATTCTCCATTGTAAATAACTTCAAAATCTAGATTCTAAACATATCTATTTACAAGTACGCTTGAAAGAAAATAATTTGCACCATATGATCCATTCCATCATATTAAGTACTAATACCGTGAAAAATCTATAAAATATTTTAATAAAGTTATTTGCAAATATAATAATAAAAGTAAATAACTAAAATTATAATATAATACTTACATCATCGCCAAAAATACAGAAACCATTACTTTCTGCCACCTTGAATAGATATCCTCAGTGCCTACATAACGGGGTAGGTTGGGGAGTGCCAAAAAAAAAAAACTATATCATAGCAAAATCCAGTCGAAAACCAACTAAAGCTACCAATGGATTCATTCGTGGCAAAAAGTAACAAACTACCTCAACAAAGCTACACGAGAACCATTTTAATAATGTCACCTATGCTATTACATTTGACTAAATTATAAGCTATATTATGCATCTCACTTACGCTTTCCCGAGGAACTTTAACTATTTTGTACGTAGTAAAGCCTCTAAGAAGACTGTTAATTTGGGCAACCAGTCCCTGAACCTCTACTGGTGAGGTATTAGGAGACAATTGGTTAGTTAAGAACTCACAATTCGTTTGAATCCTAATATGTTGTAGATTCAGATTGTAAGCTTCCTAGAGTGCTATCATCATAGTTGTCATTTCTGCCTGTAGAGGGGAGAGGGCTGGCATTTTCATTGTTTTGATTTGCATGACAGCTCCTTGTTTGGTGGTAATCTTCCATGCTCCCGCCGCCACGTTGGTTGTTGGTTGTTGGTGGATATGATCCATCTAGAGTAATGATATCTTGATTTGAGTCTGCCTCTGGATCATCCATATTTTCAATATCATTTACTTGTATCATCCGGTTAAGCTTTTCCTTTTCTTTTCTGCATATTGTCTGATGTACACTAAAATCCTGTTTGATTTGATTCCATGTTTGTGACAACTCACATTGTTGATTGCGCCATAGGGTGTTGTTTCTGTTGATCCATATTTGCCATAAGGTGAAGATGGATAGTGTGATTGAGTCATCCGTTGGCGCCTCTTTTAGCCATTTGAAGAACCAGTCCTTGAAGCTCATAGGGTGTCCAACATCAAAGTTGAAGCCGAAGTTGGAGATCCTCAGAGTCTCTTGGATGAATCACAATTCAAAAATAAATGTGAGTTGTCTTCTGCTGATTGTTGACATCGTGGACAAAATGTATCTTCAAGGATACATCTTTTCCTCAGAGCCACTTTTGTGAGCAGTGCATCATGTATGCCTCTCCAAATAAACAGCTTCATTTTTGGTGGCATATTACTCTTCCATAGTCTCTGCAGGCTTTCTTCTCATGATCCATTCTCTCTATGTCCAGGGGATATTCCTTGTTGTATGCTACTTTGTAGCCTGATTTGACTGTGTAATTTCCATGTTCAGTTCTTGTCCAAAGCAATCTATCATCCTGACTTCTCATGTTAGGATCAACATGGATACCCTGTATGTAAGGAATAATATTTGAGGGGGAGATCTTTCTTAACAACGGCATTTTCCATTGCCCTGCTGAGTCAATCAGATGGGAAACTCTCAGATTTGTGTTTGTTGCCAGAATTGAGTCTCTGGCAATTGGATTGTCCTTTTGAGGGATCCAATTTTCACTAATCTTGATGTTTCGTCCTGATAGTACTTTCCATTTGATGTTTCCCTCCAGCAGTTCGAAGCCCCATAATACGCTCTTGTAGCCCCAGGAGAGGTTGGACATGCGTTCTGGTAGCATAAAAGCCTTGCCTTTATGATACTTACCTCTGAAAAAACGAGAAAGCAAGGAGTTGGGTGCTGATATGATCTTCCATGCATGCTTTGCTAGTAATGCTTGATTAAATTCTTCCGTGGACTTGAGCCCCAATCCTCCATGCAATGGTGACCTACATGAGATGACTCATTCGTGGAGCATGGTTGCTAATTTTTATCCCTAGACCCGGCAATCTTTGAATTTCTGATCTTATTGCCGAAGAGAGAGCTTGTTGACAAAGGATGAAGAGATATGGAGATAATGGACAGCCTTGTCTTAGCCCTCTATTTGGTGAAAAAAAAGGATGATTGCTCTCCATTGAACATGATCGAGTATGAAACTAAAGTGACACACTGAATGATAAAAGTTACCAAATGCTCTGGAAACTTTAGCTGTGTCAATACCTGTTTGAGGAAACTCCATGAAACCCGATCATACGCTTTGCTCATATCCACCTTCACTGCTGCAACTCCATTTTTTCCTTTTTTATTTTTGATGAATTCCACAATCTCATGTGCTATCAAAATATTTCCACTAATGTTTCACCCGGGTACAAACCCATTCTGATGATCGTCAATTAGATCATTAATGATCCATTTAAGCCTTCTTGTAATCATCTTGTTGATGATTTTGTATTTCACGTTGCAGAGGCTAATTGGACGAAAGTCACTTGGTGACAAAGGGTTTGTTTTCTTGGGTATCAAGACTAGAATAGTTTGATTCCATTCTTGTGGTAATTCAGCAAGTCTTGTGATGTCCAAAACGGCCTGCACTACTTCAGTTTTGATTTCTTTCCAATAATTTTGATAAAACCCCGCTGGCATGCCATCTGGACCTGGGGATTTCCATGGTGCCATCTCCTTAACTGCTTCCAGTACTTCATCTTCAGTGAAAGGTATTGCCAGGAATTGTTGCTGCTCCACTGAGAGTGTTTCCTTCATTTTTCCTAGTAATTCTTGCACTGACATGTCATTCCTGTTTGGGACATAGGCTTCTGCTGGGGAGATATAGACATCTGAGAAGTGGTTATTGATTAGTTCTCTCACTTGTGTTGTATCATGTACCCAGTTACCATCTTCATCCATCAATTCAGTGATCCACTTATTGCCTTTTTTTCTGGACGCCCATTTTTGAAAGAACTTAGTGTTTTTATCCTCCTGGATTGGCCACATCAGTTTTGTTCTTTGACTCCAATAATCTTCTTGCATTTTAAGTGCTTCTTCCACTGCTTGTTTGATTTGTATGAGTTTTTGATGAGCTTGATCATCATTGTTGTGTGCTTCCCAGTATTGCTGTTGAAGGTTTGCTTCCTCTAAGAGTTTTTGCACATACATATCTAAACTCTTGTAAATATCTCTGCTCCAGTTATGCAATTGGTTCAAACATCTAGTTAATCGGGCTGACATTTAGGATGGTGTACATTGTTCCTCCTGAGGTTTATGTTGCCAGTTTTGACTCACAATTTCCAGTGACTTGTTGCATCTTATCCAGAATTGCTCAAAAGCTTTCCTCTTTTTTCTTCCTTTGCTTTGTACTTTCACATCCACCAGAAATGGGCCATGATTAGAATTAAATATTGGTAAATTTTTTATTATGGCCTTGCTAAAATGATTTAGCCAGTCTCTGTTGACAAAGGTTATGTCCAATTTCTCATATATCACTTGGTTTCCTTGCCTGTTGTTGGTCCATGTATACCAACATCTAAGATGTTTTAATTCTTCTAACTCTTGCTTTTCCAGAAATTTTTTTATGGCTACAGTATCTCCATCTTTGACTGCTTTGCCACCATATTTGTCTTCTTGATCTATGACCTGATTGAAATCACTTAAAATAAGACTAGGATACGCCAAAGGGGAAAGAGTGCTATTTAGATCAACCCAAAATTTTGATTTTCCCTGATGTGAAGGAAGTCCATACAGGAATATAGCCACCCACTCAAGCCCCCTTGCTTCTACTACCTTAACTACTATTACAATAGCATTCTTATGCAGCAAAGTTATATTCAAGCCATCTACCCAAAATAAGGCTAAACCTCCACTGGAACCTACGGGTTCTACTGCTATGGAGTGCCTAAAACATGTACTTTGCTGCCAGACTTCTAGATTACTAGTGGCTATTTTAGTTTCCATCAAAAAGAACAAGCTAGGATTGTATTGCCTTAATAATTTACATATACTTGCTTAGTAGGAGCATTATTCATGCCCCTGCAGTTCCAGCTCAGTATTCTTATACTTCTTGAGGCGGTTGTTTAAGATCAACCACCGCAAGTCCTTGGAGCTGGTCGTGAACTGTCACCTGGTCACCAAAAGCAATTGTTAGGTTAGAGATCATGATTGAAGTCTGCTTTCTATCCTCCTCCTCTAGAATCCTGCGCTTCTGGTACTGTGCTTCGGACTGATCTTCCTCCCTGCTTCTTTTGCCATCCTGTCTCTGAGTCTTGTGATCATGGTTCCCATTGTTATTCACCGATTTCTGATCTGCTCCATGAGCTCTTTTCCATCTGCTAAGCCTGTCTAAAGTCTTGTGCCTCTCATGTGGTGTGTGCATGCTGAGATGTTTTTGCGTCTGCTTCAATGAAGCCAAATGCATGCGGCCATACTTCTTTTCCTGAAAGCTCTTTCCCTTCCTTTCGAACCTTTGAGTGTGACTGTGGTTGAGCTCTGTCCTTGGTCCACTGCTGTGGCTATCATCCTTTCCCTTCATCTGAAAAAGCTTCCTATCCTGGAGTGTTGGTTAGTTGGATCCAGCATCAATCGCCAGTTGAGTATGATATTTTCTTCCACTTGGTTGATCTTTTCTCCTGCCATATAGAGTCTACTGAAATATTACGATGCTTGTTCCTCCAGTTGGAACATTTCTTCAGTGTTGTCTATAATTTCTGTCAGCCTCCCCTGACTTGCCGTTTCCTTCACTTGTTCAACACTTTGATTTCCATCTTCTTCTTCCCCACTATTCAGAAGCCTGGTGTGCTGTGCGTTGCAGAAAAAACCCCATGCTCACCAACATTCAGGGAGGGTATCTTCTTTCTCCCCTACCAAGCTAAGATGTGTAGCTATATTTGCTAGGGTCATAGCTGCTCCCTCCATGTTCCTAACTCCATGATTTCCACTTGAACTACTATCACCTGGGCTAGTTACATAACTTACAACTTCCAGAGTATTATGGTCCCTAACTTCCTGAGCAGTAAATTCCTGATCATACAAACCAGTCTCTCCTATTTGACTATCAGAATCACCAAGTATAGCATTAGAGGGTCCTATTTAGGAGTGATGCACAATCATCTCTGGTTCATCTGCTACTAATATGTCATTTGTTGATGATGAGTAACTGAAATCACAGGACAACACATTAGTGGGGGAATTACCTCTATTTCCTGTACTTGGTGATGATGAGTGACTTGATCCATTATGAAAACCATTTTCATGTGGAGCTCCATGCTCTCCTGGCGGCGGTCCATCATGTTGATTTTCAGCTATTCATTCACCTATGTCCATATCTTCCTGTCCTCCATTGTCCAGATTCTCATTGTGATAATAATCATCCCCCCCATCGTCCTCCCCTGCATCTCCATCATCATTGTCCCCGTCATCACTGTCATCACCTGGCGGCACATCAACATTCATTGGTTGAAAGCCCTGCTCCCCATCCATAGTGATATGGAAACCATCTCTTATTCTCTCTTCCTCTATTAGTGCATAGTAATTTCTAGTGTGGTTGAGAAACGCTTAATCTAGTATATCTGCTGTTTCTATGGCCTTCTACTCACATCATCTCCAGGAACATCTCCCTGAGTTCATTCCTGTGCATAGGCGCATGGTTTCGTTCTGCTTCAGCCCTGAAATAGTCATTGAGGAAGGCATCCAAAGCCACATCTGACACTATTGGGCATTTGTGGTGTGGATGGCCCAGTCTGCCACAACGCCTGCAAAACTTATGTAGTTTTTCATATCGGCATTCAATCAGATTATGTGTACCTCTGGTTGAAACCGCATAAAAAGCTGGGATCAGGGGATTAGCTGGTTCCACCCAAATCTTAGCTTGGATGTAAGTAGCCTTCTTCAAGGATGTGGAATCCTCTTTGACTTTCTCCACCTCACCCAACATTGACGCTAGTTCCCTAGCTCCCCTCCAGTTGTAATTCAAGAGTGGAGCTTTGTGAAGTCTAACCCACATTGAGAGTTTCGTGATTCTCACTCGATCTAGGACGATTTCATCATCTGCATACCATCTACTTAAGATTAAGAGACCTCCATGCACGGCATATGGCCCATTATCTAACACTGCCAATAGATCGGTCTTGCAGAGGAAACGTGTGACAAAGAAGTTCCTGTCACAGTGCTGTACTCTTGCATACAAGGCCCAATTCATGTTGATGTAGTTCTGCATCTGCTCCCCATTAAAGTATCTGTCATCAATCAGATATCCTAGCAGTGACAAGGGTTGATCTTCCGCTGAGGTTGCTTCCGCCGCCGGGGATCTGCATGCCGGCCACTCGCATGCGTGGTCTATGGATCATACTTGGATGGACATCCTGAAGTGGATGATAGTTTCTCATCTCTTTAGAGAACTCAGTGCCCTAGGGTGTGTATACACTGGAAGCCGAATTTTCACGTGCATGTGATTGATTCATTCTGATCTACTGTTCGTAGGATCAGATCTATTAAATAAGACAAGAAAACAACAATTTAATGCACTCCCCTCCAAAAGAAGGGGTCAAACTGCCAAAGACTTAGAGCAAGTTATCAAAGAGAATAGCTTTTTTTGTGAGGAATTTAAAGGAATGTCAGGTTGTAGTTGTTTTTTAGTCCCATCCGAGGAGCCATAGTACCGTTAAATATAAGAAAAGAAATACAGCACTGCATTAAAGAAGGAATTTGGAAGGTTGTGAAAGCTAACTGGAGGGTCCTTCCTCTATGAGTAAAAGCACCGGATGTTTTTCAAGAAAGGAGGCTGAACAGGTAATTGAAAAGGCAACCTCCTTTAATTATTACTCAGATCAAAACATCTGGGAGTATAAAATGTTTGCATGGTGTTTTGTGCTCCTGAGTGGGTATAAATTAATGGGGAAAAGTGGAAGGTTTCCACCTTCAAAATTGCATGGTGGCCAAGTGGCGAAAGGCTTTTCCCTTGCATGCAAGCATTGGCAAAACCGTATGCTAAATGTTGTTTTAGGATAGTCTGTTTCTGGTTTTGGTAGATCTAGGTAAGTAGATCGAAGGGAATCCTATGGGATTGTGGGTTTTCCTTTGTGGTAATGCTATTCTTTGGATTGTTGTTTTTCTTTTCAGTTTGTGCCTCTCCAAAGAGAAGGGGTTTTCTCTCTTTTTTTTAGAGAGAAGGCAGAGCGTTTTACAGAAAAATGAGTTGTTCTCTATGATTAAGACACCCAATCAATGATGAAACTAGTTTTGTATAGAGGCGGGGGTTCATACTAATATAATATAATAGAATGAAATAACTCAAATATAATTCAAATGTTATCTAGTGGCTAAATGTGACAAAAATTAATTAAAAGTAAAGTACTCAAACAAAAGAAAATAAAAATGAAGGAAGCAAAATATATATTTAGTTTTGAAACATGTTTTAGGTAAGAGAGAGAGTTAATATAAGGAAAAAGAATGACTTCCACGTCAAATAGACACCATTTGGATAAGTGATTTACAACTTTGAACTACCAATTTGACTAGCATAGAAAATAGATCAACTTAATGATATAGAAGATTAGTTTTAAGTATAAAGAAATGCAATGAATTAGACCGGTGATTGGTTTATTTGTTTTTTTAGAATTTTAAAGTAGTGTATTGTTGTATAAATATTGTGTTAAGTACTAAGATATTGAATCAGATCTTTTGATATACCAAGTTGCTGATGATTATACTCCAGTTGCTGATGATTTAGTCCAATTTAGTCGCAACAATTCTAAAGACAAGCCCTAAGAAGAGCATATGTACCAACATGCATCAAAAGCGAAAAAGTGAAAGCGCCTCCAAATCCAAATCCCATAACAACTAAAATTTTTCCTGGCAATGTAATTAAGATGGCTAGAAAGTTATTTATGACGTATAAATCATAAAATGAGGAGAAAAAGATGATAATACTAAGAAAAAGTATAAATTGGGAACATATTGGCATGATTATACGACAAGAATTAAACCCCACGTCATAACCAAATTGGTTGGGCTTTACTTGAAAACTGTTATATTTTATTTACTCCTTGAATGATATAAATTATTTTTTCACTCAAAACCCATCATGTTAATTACATTTGGAGTATATTTTTATATGTAATGAGGTCATATAAGAGGAAATAATAAATTTTGGCTGATAGACACTTATACTAATAAAAATTTTAAACTATATGCACGATTGATATTATAAAGGGAAAACATGGCTAAGCCTTAACCAATGACATTTACAATCAACATCAACATCATCATAACCAATATATTACCAATCCGATAACATTTACAATACTCACACAAAACTATACCATTCCAACAAGATAGTTGAGTTAAGAAAATCCATACAAGATGATGCTTTCTTTCCAAATGACACTACAAGAAAAAAGAGCTTTCATGACATTCATATCATACTAATTTCCTATTAAATACCCTAATCAAGAAAAGATATAAACACATTAACCTTAAATGTCTTGAAAGATATACTAACAAGACATTTTCCTTTTTCCAAATATTGGTTATACCTGTGGTGACATAGCTTACATCACATTTTCAAAAAAAAAAACCCATCAAATTTTCTTTTTTCCAAATATTGGGTACAAGGTTATATCATTCGGCCAGATCGAATGAGGTTTTTGCTATCACCGGAATATTTGCCACTAATGACATGAAGATTTCCAAGAGAAATTTTCATTGGTTCTTTTGAAAATATACAAAAGGTCAAACTTGTTCCTGTGAGCTTTGATTTGAAGTATGAGCAATGAGAAAAGACAAAATATCATTCATAGTTCCAATAGAAGATAGGGTTGCCCCTTACTTGGAAGTAGATAAAAGCCTCCTTCATGAATACCTCATTATTTTTTCTTTAGAAAGCGGTTTCATAGTTCTTAGGGGTTTAGTTCAAAATGTTTTAGATGGAGTAATTGGCGGTTAGTCTTCTTCACATGATATTCTAGAATTTACGAGAATAGGATATTTCAGGGACAAGTGCAAAAAACAGTAGTGGAAAAACTATAAAAAATTTGGGATCACACTTTCCCATATCAATTTCAAAAAAGTTGTTGACGTCCCTTGCCATGAATACATCTCCTATGAACATCAAGAAGCACTCGCAAAGATGGAAAAAGTTATTGACAATACTGGTTATCATTTTTTATGCTAGTCAGATTCATAAGTCACTGGCGTTGTAGTCAAATTATTTATCAGATTAATAACATGCTGCTACAAAAGCTTTCTATTCACTCTCTACCTGGGTTATTTAGCCTGTGTCTAAAGAAATTGACTATAAATGAATAATTTTGAACAATCCTTTTGAAAGCCTGAATGTTTTTGAGACTTTATTATAACGTGCATATAGATGTGGGCTTCTTATTGTGAATTTTGCTTCTTTCCCCACCCACTGAGAGAAGTAGTTTCATGCCCTATAATATTTTGCTCTCATTACACTGCTTAATAGTTTTTAATAGATACATTTTATTATGTTAACTCTGAACACATTATATGGGAAACTTTAGCTTCCAATTGAGAACAGTTAGTTTAGACAGTGCTTTGTTTAAGGCGTAACTATAGTATACCATTATATATGGTCTTTGTGGAGAAATCATCATGCTGGGTAATTGTGATTGGATGGTGATGTTAGTGCTTGGCTGCAATTGGAATCGCATTTGAGTAGGGGAGATGGAACATAAAAAGGCATTTTAAAAGGGTTGAGACACTGGCGACCATTAAGGATCCCATTGTAGTAGTAGCAATTATACACTGGGAATTATATCTTGACAGTTGGATTAAAATAGGATCACAAGAAATTTGTATCAGTAAAAGAAACTCTTGTGGATTCTTGAAAGTTAGTTTGTTCTTCTGAACTCAAGCGGGCATCGCCAAGGGCTGAAATTCTAATTTGCATTTGGTCTTTCTCTGAAATAGTTAAACCTCACTTACAACTTCTACCAAAGTGTTCATCAATTAAACATCTATTTGCCACGCCTGTTCTGCGATGCTATTCGAATTGGTTACATTTCATGTAATCATATCTTACTAAGCCTGAAACTTTCATTCAAAAGAGGTAGAAACCTTTTCTTTCACTTTTTACATGTTATGTTTCTTTCTGGTGTTTAATTTACAGTTTCTTTTTGGTAATACCGACTATCATTATTGAGACTCATCCATTATAGGTGATGATGTTAGTACTATGATGTGATAACAATGTATTGTCATACTAGCTTGTTGCTAAAACTGATCTCAATTAGTATGAGATGAATTGAATTTTATGCCTTGCTAATTTAGCCTTGTCCTTGTCCTACGGTTGGCTGACAACCATGAATTGCCTAGGGATTTAAAGAAATATTTTCCTAAATGATTTTGATTGTGTGAGTGCTTATGGAAACTTTATTAAACCATGCATATTTGCATCTCAATTTTCGTATTTCTCTTTTAGATTGCATTTTCCGCTTCTGAAGAGATTTGTTGTCGCATATCTTCATGGATCCGTAAGCAAGGCTATTAAAATTTCTACACGAGCTTGTACTTTTAAAATTTTTATTTTTGTAGCTAATATCAGGGACTATCTACACGAACCTGAAATCGCATTGTTCGTGTTATATATACCTCATTTAGATTTTTTAATTTTTTTTATTTTTTTTTTATCTCATCTAGGTTAATCGCACGGAGCATCATGGAAATAGCTTATGGAACAACGAGAAGAATGTTATGAATAGCACTACGGTATGTAGTTGATTATGAAGTCGCTTCACGGCTACTAGAAGTTCTTTTCACATTCTCAGAGATTTCTTGCCTTGAAGGAACCATTATCCTTCATGTCTTAATTCATCAAAAGTCTCATTTTGGTAAATTTATACATATGTGGAGATTACTTTACTAATTAGGTTCATTTGCTTTTCTAAACTTATTTGGCAATAATATATCATGCATTTGTGGGTGCACGGACGTATTATTACATAACCTAATATCGACTTTCAAGATCTAAGGAAAAAAAACAATTGAGAATAAATGAGAAAATGTGATGAGAGGGCTGTATGAACTGGCTAACTAATATGAATAGACTTTGATAAGATTCTTGGTAGGTTGTTCTAACTTTGTTCAGTGAAACAAATATTAGTTTGTTCTTGGTTGACTTTATTTTTTGGGAAATGTTGTTTCATTCTTTTCTGGTTTCTTTATATGTTTTCTTTCTTTACTATTTTTTTCGTG